TCACTCATGTGTGTTTTGGGGACAGTTGTGTCTCTATTGTGTGCCCTACATGCACAAAACTATTAGAGCGTAAAAACCATCAGTGAAAGCTGGGGATCGTTAGTGTGTGTACTGTAAACAGATAAATACAAAAAAGAGGCACATGCAGTACAAACAGTAAATACAGTTGAGGGCCGCTGCCCTGCAGGTTTGAGATGTTTCCCTGCATCCAAACACCTGATTTAGACTTGATAGACCTTTTCTAAAGGTTGTAAAGTCCTGCCTCTGGCTAGGCTTCAGTTATATTCTGTATTCAGCATGCAAAATTGATCTGAAATCTAATTATTCTACCAAAAAAGATTAAATAAATTATTTATCTGATGTCTAACAATGTAATTACAAATTCTAACGTACATGTTTTTCCTCAAATGATGTGTTTTCCTTACTGAATCGTGGAAAAGAAAGAAAGGCCCTTAAAATAAAGAGCTGCTGAGATGCAGTTTTGTTGCCCGTCATGACTCAGTTAAAGCTCTAACTCATTTATTTTCTGTCTTTTGTCGTAGTCTGACATAATTCAAGTTATGTTTTGCTTTTACCTCATCCGTGCCTGCATTTATTCCATTTCTCAGCCCATTTTGAGTTAAATCTGCAGGTTATGACACATGTTTTTGCATTCTTAACCATCAAAATGTGAATATCAAATTTTAATTTAATTATTTTAAACTTCAGTTTTGAGTAGAAACATCTGAAAAAATGCAGATAGATAAATTCAGCAGGATTTTATAAATGAAATATATTGAGATCCAAAAATACTGCGTTTCTACTTGGCATTAGCTTTGCATTTAAACTAACTCATAAACAGCCAAAAGGAGAGAAGAAGGAGAACTAATGAAATGAAGAAAGAGAAAGACATGCTTTTCTGACCCAGTTCTGGCTTCAAGATGATGCGGAAATTCAGAACCAGCCAATATTTCAGAGTCATTAAGCCTCTGTGGGGTTTTAGGTCTGTAATGATGAACAGATACTCCCAGTGTGAGGTGGTACTTAAAATGATCGTCCCCAGAGAGGACCTTCAATACGGAGAACGCGTTCATCGAGGTGGGACGTGGTGAGTTACGACCGCTGTTAACAAAGCTGAATGAGCAGCCGGAATAAAGCCACGCCATCCAAAACCAGCTTCAGTTCTCTCCTGAGAAAAACTCGTCCAATCGCATGACCAGGAGAGGCGAAACAAACCCAGGCAGAAGCATGAAATATACAAACCCTCACAGGTGTGACTTGTTTTCCATTAGCAGCAAATAAGCTTGACTTGAACTGTTCTTTCGGCTGGAAATGGGAAGTGGTGACGGCCGAATAGAAAATAAGCTGTCAGAAGGATAAATTACACTCTTTACACCTCCAGATAGCCTCTCCACGCACTGTGGTTCGCGCATTAAAGTGAAGCCTTCAGTTATATGTTGCTGTGGAGGTCCCCCCCCCCTAAAACTGTTATAATTTAGAGCCTTTGAGTTGAGACTGTGACTGTACAGTCAGCTCATCTGGAAGTGTTTGTTCACAGAGGAAAAGATTTGCTTCATGATCCTGTAATATTTAGTCTGTCACCCATGGATGTGACGCACAGAACCCATGTTGTTAAAAAATAAGCACAAAAGGAGCACATTTCTGTCCCCTGATTTTACTTTCTCAGCATATGAACCCCATGTTACCAATAACTGGAGCCAAAGGCCCATATTTGTACCCTGAGGGCTTCGGAGTGTGAAGGAGGGAGCATAGGGGACTGGGATCGAATGGAGATTTTATTTATATGAATTATACATACGAGAAAAGGCGGAACGAAACAGAATGAGGAAAACGAGGGCAGAGGAGACAAAAGTGGAAGCAATGGCGACATACTGTGAGAATTCACAGACAGAGGACAGCAAAAGGACAAAGACTGAACGGAGCCAGAGAGCTTAATACAGATTAGAGTGATTAATGAAGGAGCAGGTGAGCTGATGAAAAACTGGAGCATCACAGCCAGCGTCCTTCACAGGTGGTCGCAACTTTTAAACCACCAGAGATTTCACAAATCTGTTTGCGGAAATCGCTTCCTGAGACGATTCTGCTCTTCTTTGATGTGGGACATGACCTCTTCCCCATTTGTAAAACCTGCCCATGATTCAACATGGCGTTTTTAAAGATGGCGGCCATGTTCTGGGCAGAGCCTAAAATATGGGTCCCCCCTAACCTGTTGAAGCTGAGGGGCTCAGATGTGTCACTTTCATTGTAGAGTCTGAAGCTTTTCACCCATCTTGTGCATCCAGGTGATGAAATAACCAAAACTACAGGGAAAAACAACCAAAATCAGTCCACAAAAACCGAAAATCTTTCTTTCAAATTAGTAAAAAGAGAGAATGAAGGGTTAATCCCCAGTTGTTATTGTGATAGTCCGTGAAAGTCCATGAGAAATGGACTTCACACAGTTCAACACTGTCATAGAAATGTTTAAATCCGACACAACAGGAGCCTTTATAGAGTGATTAAGAACCCGCTGCTTACAAGCCTTTGTACCACTAAAGACACAATTAGGTGCTTTTTTTCTAAGAGTAACAAGTCGCTGAGCGTCTTTTCATGTCTGGAGCCTGAACTGAGGAGCATAAACAAGCGTCTCTGTTAGCCCCCACAGCTCCATTAACAAGACTTTACAGTGATAGCCTTAAATCCACAGCCGGGGCAGATGAGGCAGTGGATGATACATGACGGGGTCCAGACTCCAGCTAATGGAGGCAGTTATATTGACTGCATGGTAGCGGGTGATCTCATGTGCTAACCGAGCCAGTGGAGTGTGTGTGTGTGTGTGCTGCGTCACGGCAGTGTGTGCCTCGCACGGGAAGACACACACACTTCTGATCCGCTGCACAGCCCCTCTAAACCCAGACATCTGTTTGGATAATGGCTGTAACCTGCAGGTTCTGCTGTAATCTGTGTGGCGGCGCTTCAGAAAGAGGGGATCCAAAAAACGGCTTTTGGAGGGAGTCACCCCCCAATCAGAGCCAGCCGTCCCCCCCGAAGCTCCCCGAAGAGGCCTGGTGCTGCTGTGGTTAAAACGAAAGTCCCGGGGTTGTTCGTTCCCCCTCTCATTTACAGTTTTGTCAAGGTTGGAATGAAATGGTGAATTATTCATCGTTGCAGCTGTTATTCAGGTCTCAGTAGCACGTCTTTGTCGCTAAACTTTAAAGGCCAACGTTGTTTGTCACTGAGCTGTCGCTGGCCTAAACAGGCCCGTGTAACATTTTGGAGGTGATTCGTTCAAGGAATTTGTGATTTAATATTCTTGATCAAGATGTTATCGGTGTAAAATGACTTCAAAATAACAGCTGATTGCTTTATAATGAGTCATTTGCATGCAAACACACCACAGCCTTCACATTCACCATGTTTACGGCACAGCTCTCTACAGAGAAAACCAAACGCTAAAGAGCAGAATCTTTTCCCCCTGAAGCGAAGATCTGCTTATGTGGGACCAGAAAAGCTGGGATTTTGTTCACGTCTCACAGTCAAGATCCAGAACAGGCTTTATTCTGCTCAATTAAAGAGATACAATTTGTCAGATACAGTTTGTCTGATTTCCATTCCATCTACAAATGTGATGACAGCAGAAATAGATGAAATGATTCAAACCTCAGCAGATAGTTTGGGTCAGCAAAGAGAGATGTGCCTCCATTTAAGGGCCGAAATGACAGAATTGGTTCAGGTTTCATCAGTTTGTGCCTCGTTAGGGTTTGAGAAGAAGGAGCAGCAGCCCATCGTGACGGATCAGACATCCATTTTTATGGAAAACAAAAAAGAAACCACTGGGTTTCCTGATGACAGCGTTTTAAAAGATGGTTTTCTTTTTTAAATTATCCGAAATTCCTCTCATTGAACTCAACAGGCTTCAGTCAAAGAGACGATACAGAGACTGGAGGCCCTCACATCCGTGTGCATCTGTTTCACCTGAGCTAACATGAGACGGCCCAAAATGTTTTCCCCCCCCAAAAAAGATGGATTTTCCCACTCCTGGTGGGATTATTGGCAGCCTGCCTGCATCCTGTTGGGTTCAGTGAACACACAAGAGCAAACCAGGAGGGTAAACATGGACTCGCTAAACGGGTCCAAACCACACAGAGCTGCGCTCATCGGGGGAAATGTTTGATGTTTGTCGTCCTGAAAAAGGTCTGCATGAGGCCATGTTTATGAAAGGGGGCATCCAAGTCTGACCTTTTGATTCAAGTTTCTTCATTCCCAAAGTTGTTTGTTTTTGGGTCACCTGAAAGCTTGATGTTGCATTAACTCATCAATTTTTTTAAATTTGATATCTTTCATAACGCTGATTGCTTTAATGAGTCATTTGCATACAAAGCCTTCACATTCACCATGTTAGAGCGCAGCTCTCTACAGAGGCCCAGAAGGGACAAACCAAACATAAACGTCCATCTCATGGTAATAACATGTGTATTCTATCTTAATCATTGACCTGCTCATATTTTTTATTGAGGACCAAATTAATAATTAAGGTAATAAATTAATTCTTACCTTGTTAAAGGTAACAAGGAAGTGGCTTCAACCCAATGTATCAACAAGGAGTTTTCCATGAAATGTATATTATGCAGAAATTATAATCAGAAATCAAATTATAATCAGAGCCATATAAGAAATGGTTTAATTCTATAAGATCCAAGAGACCTGAACTCCCTTAATTATATTTGTTGAATTTAATTAAATTTAGTTTATTTGATTTTAACTTGATTTGATTTAATTTAGCTGAATTTGATTTGATTTAATTTAGTTTGATTTAATTTGATTTGATATTGAGCCTCTTGATACCAATTAGGAAACAAAGGCAGGATGACTGCTGTTTTTTTCCTCCAGCTCTGTCAGATCAGCTTTCTGTTCACTCACACACACCTTTTTTAAACCTCAGTTTTTCTCTTTGCTTGATATGGTTAGATATAACGGTTAGAAATAGATTTTGTGTCATAAAGGATGTTCTGTTTCTTTTTTCTGGTCTGCAGGTAGGCTAGTCGCACCACTCTCAGCTCTACCCGGCCTCTCCCCTTCGCCTCTGGACCCCCCTGCCTGAAGCCAGCCGTCCCTCCTGCGGCCTGCGGGACCTGAACGCCACCATGTCCCTCCTCACCTCTCCTGCAGCCTTAGTCTTCCTCCTCTTCCTCCTCCTGCCGCTGCCGCCCTGCCAGCCGGAGTCCCAGCGCAACGAGCCCAGTGCTGAGCCCGAATGGGCGTCGCCCGGGCCCTCGGGGGTCCCCCCCTCCTTCCCCCCCTCCCCGTATTACGGAAACAGCACGGGAATCGGAGTGATAGACAAATGTGACATGGAGACCGAGTGCAAGCCCGGCATCCTGCTGCCCGTCTGGAAGCCCGACAAACCTGAACTCGGTTACCAGGTGGCCAGGGCCGTGGTCTACTTTGTGTCCCTTATGTACATGTTCCTGGGAGTGTCCATCATCGCAGACCGCTTCATGGCGTCCATAGAGGTCATCACATCCCAGGTGAGCAGGAGCCCATGAAGGCCAAGGTTTATTCATATCATCTACACACACATTCATATCAAAAGGAAAGCAGATTATGAGGTTTTAAACTATGTGCTCCCACAGAAATTAAGAGAAAGATTAGCTGATCGATGCTCTTATTAACTGATCAGTGAGTGTGAGCATGTCTGTAAAAGCATATTTTGGAGCATTTAGCTGTGTGTTCACACAATGCCACGGAGGAAAGACATCAGCAATGACCTTAGAGATCCAATCCGAAGGGCCAAGCTATCCATTTTTCCATCATTAAAAAGAGAGAAAGATTATTCACTGGTCAAAAACATTCAGGACAGCTGTCAGTCTTCCAATCTAAGTCATCCAAAATGTCAAAAAGCCCAAGCTACATCTCAGATTCGCCAGAGGCACAAGCAAACTGACCACTAGTGGGCCCCCAAAAGCAGTCAAAATGAATTGTTTATGTGAGTAATTAATAGTCTTCCATTAAGCACATTTTCTTTAACAGTATGTCATCTTGGCTGCCCCTTACACACACAGAAGACGGAGTCCTTCATTCCCACCATTTGCTGCCCTTGACACGACTTTCTGAAATAAATCTATTTAATAACAACCCAGATAAAGCTGGTGGCCATTTCGCCATAAATGATTCAGAGATGGGCTGCGTCGCGAGCGCCCAACATTCCCAGCTGCCCCTGAATGTGTCAGTACCGCTTTTCGTTTATCGGGTTGACGGATTTTTTCTGCTTATTTGCGTCCCGCTCAACGAGGAAAACGACTCTCTGCATCTCAGAGAGCCGGTGTGATGTGGTCCCAGGCGGCCGGTAACGGTCAGGGGCGGGGGTGAGGCTGGACACCGCCAGCAGGAAAAGGTGTCCACGCAGGTTTGGATGGTTTTATATGAGGAGATGCAGATCAGCCAGAGGGAGAAAAGAGAACAGGAAGGAGAGAAGAAGGACAAAGGAACGGGCTTGTTTTTGTCCTTGTTTGTGGAAAGAGGACGAGAAACAAACATCTGGTAGAAAATCCTTTAAAACTTTGCTCTCATCTGCATGCAGCAGCTTGTTTACATTTTCTGAGGTGTTTTCATTGGACTGTCTTCCTTTCAGTTATCCCTCCGCAAAAGCTGTCGCGTTGTATTCAGCTCTTTCCTCGGGCTGAATAGATGGAAAGAGATGGAGCGAATTACATTTAGATTGCCCATTATGGCAAATATGTCTGATAAGATGGAGGGAAAGGGGGAGATAGCAGAAGGGGGGGGAAGGAAAATAGAGGCTGAGGATCCATCATCTCCAAGGTCAGCCTAAATAAAGGGTTGGGTTTTATGTCCCCATGTGGTCGCCATGGTGCCATCATCACAGGCCTGGTTCCTTTCATTACTGTGTGTGAGGGCTACTTTACAGTCTGAGTGTGTTTCCTCCAACAGTTCCTGGTTGATGGTCTTCATTACGAGCGTTTCTGAGTTTGGTGGAGACACGCTGTGAATGCAGCCGTTCGGGGATCCAAATTTGTAACGACTTGTTACAGCTTCTGTCTGTGTGGGTTTTTTGGGGGCCAGAATACATCACAAGTCTTCTCTGGTTTTGTCTTTTCTTAGTTTTTATCCCCTTTGCTGTCCAATTACATATTCAAACTGTTTTTTCTATTTAGTTATCTAATCTTAAAGCTTTTTGTGCACACTGATAAGCTTCCCTCGGTTCTTCTCTGCGCTCTGTTTCATTTGTTTGTTTATTTGATAGTTCTGTGTTTATTCCTGTCTCTTGGTTTCCAGATTTCATTCCCAGTCTGTTTAGTGTCCATTTCCTCAGTTTTTTTTTATTCTGCGGTCTGTCGTAGCTTTACCCTTTCAGACCCCTGTTGCAGCATCTGCCTTCAGCTCTTTTTATAAGTAAATCTCAGTGGTCAAAGGAAGATTCTGGACTCTCCTTCTGTTGATCAGAAAACAATGTGGTTCATTTAGTTTTTAACCTTCAAAAAGCTGACTCCCATCTCAGGTTCTCTGGATTACTTCCACACAGCAGGTCACGTTCAGTTTGACCCTGATAACTCTCAGGTCTGACGGCAGAGCGCCTGCCGAAAAACATCTGTATCATCTGTCGGAGTCACAGACTACTCAGTCATGGGAGCGAGTCGGTAACTCACTGAGGTAGTCAAAGGTGGTGAGAGGCAATTTAAAAGGAGTCAAAAGTCAATTCCGGTAATTCCGAAGTACCATTTTTACCAAGTGAGGGTTTCTCCACCTTTGACTTTAACAAAGTCTCTGATGCTTTAAGCCTCTCTGCCAACATTTAAAAAGATTTGACCATTACTGGCCTGTAACATATGCAGATTGAGACAGCATAAAGAGTAGCTCTTCTTTTGGTGTGGTTGGTAACTCTTAACTGTTTTGTGCTCGTGTTTGTGGGCCAACAGGAGAAAGAGGTGACCATAACGATGCCCAACGGGGAAACATCAGTGGCGACGGTTCGAATCTGGAACGAGACGGTCTCCAACCTGACCCTCATGGCTCTGGGCTCGAGCGCGCCGGAGATACTGCTGTCCGTCATAGAGGTGCATGCATGCTGCTGTTTTCAGCTCTCGTAGAGGAAAATCTCCTGCTTACCCCCTCTTTCTTATTGTATTGTTTGTATTGTATTGTATTGTTTTTTTGGAAACCTCTCTCCTGGACCTCTGAAGGTGTGCGGCCATGACTTTGAGGCCGGTCAGCTGGGGCCGGGCACCATCGTCGGCAGCGCCGCCTTCAACATGTTTGTGATCATCGGGATCTGCGTGTGGGTCATCCCCACCGGGGAGTCGCGCAAGATCAAACACCTCCGGGTGTTCTTCATCACCGCCTTCTGGAGCATCTTCGCCTACATCTGGCTCTACCTCATCCTGTCCGTCATCTCCCCGGGAGTTGTGGAGGTGAGCCTCCCAGCAGCTTTTGACATATGTGCGCTTTTTGGTCCATTTCCCATCAAATCAAGTCGTACTCGCGACAGTTGTTGGTTGTAGAAATATTCAGAGGCTTTCTGCTTCGTATTTTGGGGTCTTGGAGATGAGTCTGAACCCCCTGACCAGAGTTAGAGTCATTCTCATGGTCTGAATATTTGAGAGGTGAGTTTTGGTCAGAGTGTCCAATGTCTGAATGGCTGAAACCTCCTGATCCGAGGGACAGAGCTGTACTGGATAAGCTTGAAATCGGTCATAAACAGGAGCAACATTTATGTCTCTAGAGGTGCTTTATCTGCTTTTGTGCCCTATATGGGTAACAACTGGACCCCAAGGAACACATTTGTGGTTTTAGAGGCCGTGAAAGGTACACTTACGTTCCAAAGTAGTAAATGGACAAATTACTAGGATACAACTTCAGGAGCTTTGAGGGAACAGCCCCAGAGATGAGTCTTTGGACCCTTATAGGTGCAGTTAGGTGCTCTCTTTCTGAACCCCCCTCCTCTGTTCATGGATGGCTTCCTTTCCTCCTCTCTACAACATCTGTCTCCTCTCTCCAGAGTGTCTCTTTAGCTTCCTGTGACCAAAACTCAATTTTCAGACAGTTAGAAGATCTACAGGTGGGAATGGCTCTGACTCAGACTGGTCAGGGGGTTCAGACTGTAACCCCCTTCTCTGCTTAAAGCTGACCCTCTCCAGTTTAGAACTGTAGAAGCCGTCAGGATGAGGGGAGATACTTGTTCAATGTCCAAGCAGAGAAGGTCCAGCTGCCTTTGCTCAGTCGGGGTCAGCAGGACCTGGATGGCTGAGAATCTCCACACAAGCTGGTTGGCGTCATGATTGGCTGCTGCGTTGTGTTCCAGGTCTGGGAGGCGCTGGTGACCCTGCTCTTCTTCCCGGTGTGCGTCCTCCTGGCCTGGATAGCCGACCGCCGCCTGCTGTTCTACAAGTACATGGGCAAGCGTTACCGTGCCGACAAGCGCCACGGCATCGTCGTGGAAACCGAGGGCGACCTGACTCCCAACAAGGGCGGCATGGAGATGATCGCAGATGGCAAGTTCCCACCTGGCGGGAGCGCCGTGGCTCCTGCTGAGAACTGCGGCGCTCAGGACGCCGGCGGGGCGGCGGGAGCCACGGCGACAGGAGGCGGGGCCAACCTACCCACCTCCAACAGCGCCATGGTCAACATGGAGAGCAACAAGGAGCTCGACGAGAGCCGCAAAGAGGTGAAACTCGACAACCACACACGTTAAACCCTATTTCAGTGTCTGATGTCTGAATGGTGGCTCCCAAAAGATGACAGACACATTAGAGGTCCACTCCACGCCATCCTCTTTAGATAATGAGAGATTAAATTAAAACATCAGCAGCAGGATTTTATTCATTTGCAACTTTAGCTGGTAAACAGTTGAGAGAGCTAAACCACAACTTCTCTCACACAAATCAGCAATGTGGCACCTTCCCACAAGACGATGCCCAAAGGACACCCTTTGCCTTCATGTTTATTAAGATTTTAAAAGCTCTAAATGTACATTTTTCATACAACATGTGCAGAGGTCCAGGATTTGAAAATCTTTGGACTAATAAATCTGTAATCTTGTGTTTTTTTGTGAAGATAGCCGTTAACATGATGACGATGTGAGTAGCTGGGAGCAACAGAAGCTGCTCACTTTGTTTAGTGTTTTTCTGTTATTTTTATGGACACTGAAACCTTTACCATAGTGCTAAAAATCTTCAAAGAAAACAATTAAAGAGTTATTACGGCTGTAAAGGGAATAATTGAGATCGATCCACATTTACACCCGCTCACAGCCTGCTGTAAAAGAGATTAGTTGTTCTCAGAGTACGATGTTTGTGGGGCTGTTCTCCCTCATGATGCCCGAATGTTAGACTGAAGGAATCTTCTGAAAAAGAAGTTTGTTTGATTGTTTATGCATTTAGCAGACGCTTTTCTCCAAAGCGACTTAATATGCAGATACTACATTACAGTTAGCATCAATCTGACAATAAGATACCTAGAAGAAAATCCGACTCTGTTAGGGGCACCAGTGATGACAGTGTAGAGAAAGTACAGACAGAGGAGCATGTCAAATCAATCAAGTCACAACTAATTTAATCTCTATTCTCTATTTAGGCCAAATAGGATCTGATTCATCAACACAAAGAAACACCCAATCAGTTCAGAAACAGACTGGAAACAGATTTCACCCAAAATTTTGTTAAAGTTTGGGTTGACATTGTTTTGCATTTTGATTAAAACTTATTTGAACCAAATTTTGTGTTGTTTTTATCATCCAACCTGAAAATGTTGCTGAAAACCTCTCCATGAGCACAAATTATGTTGGACCAGTTTCAGTTTGTAGGTGCTGTGAGCCAGCAGGAGCTCATTTCGTATTTCTGCTCCAGCTTTTGAAGCCGCCAAGTGTATTGTTTTGATGTCTGAAACTGGTTTGTGTTTCTCCTCGTCCTCTCTGCAGGTGATTCGCATCCTTAAGGAGCTGAAGCAGAAATATCCCGACAAAGAGCTGGACCAGCTGGTGGAGCTGGCTAACTACTACGCCCTGCTGCACCAGCAGAAGAGCCGAGCCTTCTACCGCATTCAGGTATCGCACACTAGAAACCAGCTAGTACCCCCAGAGGCGACACATCTTATTCATTTATTTATTTATTTAATCAGGACAGTGCACATTAATGAACAATCTCATACAGATTGTAAATGAGCCAGATTATAGCATAGTTGCTAGTTTACATCTGTCGTCCTGAGGCAGGAAGATCAAACAACACAAAATCACAAAATACAAAATCAGTCCAAACACACGTTCAGACAATGACATTACAAAATTAAAATGAATTCAATTCAATTCAATTTGTTTATATAGCGCCACATCACAACAACAGTTGTCTCACAGCGCTTTACAAACAGAGCAGGTCAGACTCTGAAGTTGATTACAGAAACCCAACAATTCCCATCTGCAGGAGACATGCCCACAAATGGGCTGAAACAATCCAAATTTGAGCCGGCGCTGTCTTCCTTTCACGCCTTTCTTTCTGTCTGTGTCTCTAAAGGCGACCCGGATGATGATCGGCGCCGGAAACGTCCTGAAGAAGCACGCCGCCGACCACGCACGGCGTGCGGTTGTGGTGGACGAGGAGGCGCCGGAGGATGACGACCTGGGAATATGCAGCCGCATCTCGTTTGAGAGCGCGCACAGCCAGTGCATGGAGAACTGCGGCGTCCTGACGCTGACCGTCGTCTGTCAAGGTGCAAAAAAAACCCGAAAACGAACGTCTGAGACCGACACATCAAAAATGCATTTTCTTCAAAGTTACTGAAGGGTTTCAGTCTCTGATCATTGTCTGAATTAGTATGCAGCCAGCTGGGAAACCGGCTCAGGAGTTTATCTGTACAGCATCGTCATGATTCACAGATAAAGGTTTCAAGTCGATCAACAGGACGTGATTCATTTAAGCTCATTCAGCTCTGGCTAAAATGGACTCACATCTGTTGATCAAAGTAACCAGATGTTTTGGAGCCATAAAGGATTTATGGTTAGGAGCCATTCACACATGAACATGAGCAATGGTCAATAATTGGAGCTCCCAGTGTCACAACAGGGTAGTTAATCTGCTACATGTGGCGAGATGTCATTCATATTTCATTTAGATTTAAACCTTACAGGTTAAATAGCTGCATGTTGATCAAATGGAAAAATACGGGCTTTAATCTATCTTTGTTTTATGAGACTTTATGCATTAAACCAATTAAAAACTGATGATGTCAGCAGAAACATCAAAAGAAAGAGCATCCTTTTTCATTTCGAGATATCCCTCAAGCAGAAAACTGAACCGGCTGTTATAAATTGTCAAACAAAAAGAGAAACAGTTTGCATCCAGTTTCTATGACTAACTGCTGTAAATACTGAGTTTAACCGAAGATGGTTGATAGTCATAAATACGACTCCAACTATGTGTGACAGTTTATGACCTCTGGATCTGTACAGAGCTTATACAGTTGGATTTTAACATCGTAAATCATGTCAGACATGTAACTGAACCAGCTGTACTATAATGAGAACACAGATCTCTACTCAGCCGTACTAAAATGTTGCTTTTCTTGCCTCTCTGATGTTTTCTGGGAAGAGATTAAGCCTCTGGAGAAGAAGGCAGATCAGTTTTGCTGTATTAGTTCACTGCAGATCTTCTGGCCACATCTCACTCTGAATTTTTTTACATCTGTTTTTTCCCAGTTTTGAGTTGTTTTGCTTAGTATTTTGTTCTTTTAGCTTGATGTTTTCCAGGTTTCTGTCATTCTCGCTTAGACTCTTTGGTGTTTTTCCAGTCTGGTCATCTGCTCCACTCCCTTCACCTGCTCTTCATCCTCTAATCAGAATCAGATTTATTCACCAAATATTTTTACATGCCAGGAATTTGTGCTGCAGAACATGTAGCATACACAGAGGATTAAAAGTAAAATGGAAATTAAAGTGTAAAGAGAAAAGTATCAAAGATAAATAAATATATGTGTGACAGTAGACTAAACTTGATTTTAAACTAAGGACTATCAGTCTGTTGTTGGCACGCTGCTGCTAGTACCTGCTGCTTCCTCTCTGTTCGTATAGTTTTTTCTCAGTCTCAGTTTTTTGGTTTCTTGTTAGTATTTTTCCCTGTTTGCTTTTGGCTGTCCAGCCTTTTGTTATTATCGTGTAAACTCTGGTTGAGTTGTTCCCTGTCATCCACGGTTTGCTGTTCTGTTTGGATCCTCTCGTGCACCCTCTTGGCAGTTTGTGTCACACTGGCTCCTCCTTCCAGCACAAACATGAACACAACACAACAGTAGTGTAGATGCTGCCTCAGGCTAACATTGAGTAGCAAGCTCAGACAGGTGCAGCTCCCTGAGCAAGGCCTCATGACCCCCCCCCACCCCCCTCCCCACACACACACACACACACCCACACACAGCTGAGCTCGACTTGTCCACATTTCCACTTTGACAGCTGCAGCACACAGTGTTTCAGGTAGATGGTTTGTATTCACACTGGAGAACACAACAGCCTTTCAGCCTTAAGAAACAGAAATGGCTGCTTGCCTGTATTTCCTCCACTAAAAACACACTTTTTTCATTTAGAAAGAAAAACACAAGCTGTGTGTTAGGTTCTGCTTTCAGTTCTGGTGGTTTTTGCCCTTTAAGCCTGATTCAGGTCGACAAACAAAGTGAAACTGCAGCCTATGAGAAGTGCACGGTCGTTTAAATTATTAGAATAATTTACCCTCTATTGTTATGTTTCATTTATCATTTCAGGAGGCCTGGGAGAGAACACCTTCTACGTGGACTACCGGACCGAAGACGGGTCGGCTAACGCCGGGTCAGATTACGATTACAGCGAGGGAACGCTGGTGTTCAAGCCTGGAGACACTTCTAAACAGATAAAGGTGAGTTAGAACTGGGCAGGAAGGAGGTTTGGACACATAAAGCCTGCTTCACAAACCACCCGAAATAGTAGAGAGATAAGACGGATGGGGCCTCAATGAAGAGGGCAAATTTAAATGTAACTGATTTAAGGTTTAAGCTTCAGATTTTAGAGGCATGAAGGAGCTCCATCTGAGATCAAGGCACTGATAACACAGTTAGTTTTGTTCTGTTGAGGTCAAAGAGTTAATCCAGTGGAGGGAGCCGGTAAAGTCTGAAACGAGACACAGTTCAAAGATTCACCAGGAAGACTTCAAACTGGTCTGAACTGTGTTAATGTTTTTTTTAATTACTCTCCAAATTCTTTTGTCAACCACAATGACATCAGAGGAGATTAAATAAAACTTTCTCACTGTCCAAGAATAAACCTGAAATGCTCCAAATTAATTGTATTCACACACGCCTTATTACCTGATCAAAGCATAACAAGAGAAGTTTAACTATCATCCATCCATTATCGTTACCGCTTATTCCCTAATGGGGTTGCGGGGGGAACCGGAGGCTATCCCAGTGGTCATTGGGCGAGAGGCAGGGTACACCCTGGGCGGTCCACCAGAGACCACACAGAGACACACAAGGACCAACAACCACACTCACATTCACTCCTAAGAGCAGTTTGAATGTCAAACCAACCTAACATGCAGGTTTTTGGACTGTGGGAGGAAGCCGGAGAACCCAGAGAGAACCCACACAGACAAAGGGGGAACATGCAGACTCCACCCAAAAAGGTCCTGGTTCCCCCGGGGACTCAAACCCAGAACCCTCTGGCTGTGAGGCGATGGTGCTAACCACCACACCACCACGCCGCCCAAGAATGTTAAATGTCTACTTGTTAATTTAGATAAATTCCTTTCTGTTTTTCTTATTAACTATGTGCAAGTAATTTTTTGGACTTGATTTTCATTTGATTAGCTCAGAATCAGGCTTCAGGCTCTGTGGCAGCTAATTGAGATGCTGCTGGGTTACTGCCTCTGCAGCACCAGCGACCACCATCTGGCAGCTACAGTACGAGTTCATTTCATTTAAAACTCTCCTAACTCTCTGAGGCTAGAAAGAAACACTTCTTTCATCTTTCAATGGAAAATTATTCCTGTAACATCTTTGAAAAAGAAACCCTATTACGAGTTTTTTTCTGCAAAGAAATTACTAAAATTGTAAATGTACACATCATTTGAACCAATAAACCTTGAATGAATCAATTTAAATGGATAAAGACAAATTATGCCGGGAGAAAAAACATTTAGTTGCAAACTTTTGCTGCTTTTCTCATAACTTTTGGTTTTTAATTTCCTTTAGTTTCTAAAAAATCCAAATATTTTTTTAATTAAATGGTAGAAATGTCTATGGGATCACGAGGCCATTGTGTAGATCACACAACAGGAAATTTGTGAGACAGAAGCAGAAAGCAGCCGGTCTCCACAGTCTCTGACTATGTTGAAAGTTTGTGGAGGTATGAAAACACACTGCAGACTTCTGAGTAACCTGCAGGATGGCTGCAAAGTCTGGAAAGATGCGCCAGGAGATCAAAGCAAATGGAAACAGGGGAGAGGGAGAGTGTCGGGGTGAGATGAATAATGAGACTCCCTGCAGGAGAGTGAGAGAAAGGCTGCGGAGATTAGTTGAAGCGGATGGATTTTACTGCCACTGTTTGAAAGCCGTGCAGATTCCTCAAAGACAGAAACCGTTTAGCTGTTTCCGAGAATCACAACAAACATCTTTAAAATTCAACTTAAATGGGAACACATAGTGTGATGGTAACGGGTCAACGGGTTACCCTTTTACCCTTAAGTTTGTTTTATTCTCTCAGTATTTTCACTAAACCTAAATTATATTTAAGTTTGTCCATTTTTTCCCTGCTCTCATACAGGTTTTTAAAAAGGAAATTAGTCTTCATTTGTTCAGCAAGCTCATTTACAAACAAAAAAACAACAGATAAATACTTTGCAATATTACTTTAATAACATCTCAATGAATTAATTTATTATTGTATAGCACACTTCAGTTAAAGTTCGTTATAAACCTGAACTATAAGAAACTTTGGTATTAATGGGAATGAATGAGCCCTAAAGGGATTTAGGCCAGTCAGTTGTTTGTTTCATTTTGTTTTGATCTAATAGGAATACATGTATTAATTACATTTATTGTATTTATATTTAATTATAACATGTTGACAGTTAATATGCATTATATTCAGTCAACTTGTCTTGTCAAGACCACTTGGATATGCATCCCAGAATCAAACTATCAACTTTTCCACTAGCAGCTGCAGCTTTTTCCACGTGTTCTGAGATGTGTTGTAGTGAAAAATCGTGATTCATCATTTCGACAGTGAGAACTAACAACTGTAAGACGGTATTTTTGATCAATTATGTATGGCAGAGTTCAGCCCGGCAGCTTTAAGTTGGTCATGCCTTCAGACTTCTCATCGGCACTCTGATCTCAGATCAAACGACGCAGTAAAGATTTCCCTTTGAAACCTAAGATTTCTGAAACAGGCTGTGTGTGAAGTAGAAGCACGTGGGAGGACTGGACATAAAGAAATGAATGGCGTAACCTCCACTCAGAGTCAAAGCCTGATTAAAGATCAAAAGCACTGGATGACAGGAGAGTGTGCGACAGCCTAAAGAGTCACAAAAAGCAAGAATTGCCACTAAAGAAACATGCAGAAGCTTATAAATCAGTTTATCCACTCACGGTGGATAGATGGAGAGAAGCTGAGCGAGTATATTGCAAAAGGCTGGCGTCATTTATTTCTGCAGCGTAGCCGCGGAATCCATCGACCGCCGTGCCAGTTAGAAATGAGCAGCAGCAAACCAATTAAAGTGAAATGGTTCACCTGTCAGAACCCCATTTTCACTGCCGTGTCAGTTCCAGTGAAAGTCACCTCCATCTTCACAGGCCCAGTCCTGCATGAGAGACCGGGCTGGATGAAGCATCCCGCTGTCAGAGTTCAGCTTTCCAACAAAGAGCCCGGCTGTTTTGTTTAAGAAAAAAAAAAAAAAAAAACGGGTCGATTATTTGATTATTTTCAGCTCTGATTAAAGCCACTCCAGATTCGTGGCACATCCCATTGTGTTCACGGTTACCCTGATTATGGCTCTGCCTCGGTGATTATTAAACAACACCACAACAAAAGCATACTGATAAAGACTTTGATGTTTTCCAGGCGGAGATTAATGGAGGCATTCAAGTAATTCTTGTTTACGTGCATTAGTTATTCAGCAAACACACCGCAAACGGTGAACAAAGATAAATTAAATTTCAAAGTCCAGCTTCAGCCACTTCTAATCAAATAAACTAATCCAATCAAATCAAATTAATACAGACTAATTTTTTAAACGGATTTAATCCCCCTTACTGAGTATAAACAGGGTGACGGTGGAAGGAAAAAACCAGCACTAACTTAGAAGCCAATTTAGCTTGAGCTTAGCTTGGTTTGTTCGGCCAAAAGTTAAAAAAGCAGCTAACAGGTTAGCTTTTCCATGATGTTGACGGTTATTTAGCCCCCAAATACTCATCTCTGGAGGTAAAACGTAATCGCCTTAAGAACGACACCTTTTATTTTGTCAGTTGAAGAGCTGTTGATCTGAATTTAGCTCTCAGCGAAGTTGGGATCTCTAAACACCTGGTTGGGAGCCAGCTGGTTGGTCACTGCGGCTCTTGGCTGACAAGCAGGGACTTTTAGCAAGTGCTGAAATACCAAAAAATAAACTATATTACAGTTCTGATACCTCAGGCTGTGCTGATCGAGCGTGTGAAACCGATTTAACCACATATTTAAAGTGCTAAATGCAGCGTAGCATGAACAGAGTCAGAGAAAACATTTAGCTGGGGGACAGGGTCTCTTCCAAAAGCATATTTATTTTACGCTTGATAAGTCTTCGTAATCAGAAATTGCAACATAAACTATGTCAAGATTCAAATATTTACAGAGTTTTAAAAGCAGAGATAAAACTAAAGCTCTATATCATCAACCACATCACCTGAGAGGTCAATTCATTATCTCTAATATATACTTATTCAAGAATAAATGTTGAATAGATAGTATAATTTAGTGGGAAAAAAGCACATTTCCCTGACGCCTTGTTCATCTTGGATGAAGTCTGTACAAGTGGCAGTTTAGATAATTGAATTACAACCTGACGTGGTTGGATGAAGGAGCTCTTTGTCTCTTAATGCGTTCAGACACAATCAAATCATAATCATCAGATAATTTCTATTTATGTCTGACTGAACTCAGCTGTCCAGACAATCCAAAAATCCACTAAAAGCATATAAATTCACTTTGAATTCAACTGGAGTTCACATTATGGAATAAGTATCATTTTACCTCCTCAGCTTCTGGATGGTAGAAAGTAAGTCATGAATTATTACAATTATTGACCCGATCCCCTCCTGTGTCTAACAAGCAAGTTTTTTAGGTTTTCTCATAACTTCATAATACTACAGCCAATAAGAATTTTCTGTGGGACATAAATGAAGTTATGATTTACTGCTGGTTTGGAGAAACCAGCAGATGGAAGAGACGAAGTCGCAGTTTGTTCATTTATTGCTCCGACCGCCTCTGTGTGGTCTCGCCAGCTGTGAGCACAGCTGCTGCTCTCCTCCTGGGCTGTGGCGGCTGAAGTGTCTGGGTAGTTTCTGCCCGGACCAGGGGACAGTGGACGGCTCTGAGGCAGCTGCACTCTTTGCTCTGCTTCCCTGCCAGGAAAAACGTAGCCAGATAGACCAGATGTGTTAATTAGTATAAGGCAAAAGTTCTGAGTCACCCTGAATTTCTCTATATTTCTATAGGAAAACAGGAAATAGTTACAGTGATCCAGGAGCTGATCAGCTGGAGGTCCAGATACAGCTCTCAACTCCTGTTCAGCTCTCTGCTGGATCTGCTCCTCTTTCTGAAGGACCTCACTTTCAGATCCTCTTCATCTGCTGGAGATCTTTTTTTAGGCCCAACTCTTCCTCTTCTGTCCTCCACTTGTCCAGATTCCTCAGATGTTTTAGGGACTCACTGCACACCAGGCTGTTTTCAGCCAGCAGCTCTTTGGGAATCCTCATAAATCCTGTTTCCTGCTGCTGCTTTGCTTTGGTTGAAAAACCAGGCTTGCTCATCCCTTGAGTTAGGGACATTATTCTGTCTAAAGGATTTTTGAGTCTGAGTTAAGTGACCTTGCAAACAAAGGAACCCATTCATGTGTAAGAAGAAAAATAATCTGTGATTGACCTGCAAAAAACATCTAAGAAGGAACTTAGATATAAACAAACAAGGTTTGCATAAAGATTCCACAGTACTGGAGTTTAGAGCCTTTGATTTAAATGTGTCTCTGTTTCTTTCTGCAGGTTGGTATAATTGATGACGACATCTTTGAGGAGGACGAGCACTTCTTCGTCCGTCTGCTCAACCTGCGAGTGGGCGACGCCGAGGGCATGTTCGAGAGCGACGACGCGGGCGCCGCCCCCAAGGCCCGCCTGTTGGAGCCCCTGGTCGCCACGGTCACCATCCTGGACGACGACCACGCCGGCATCTTCACGTTCGGCGAGCGCCTGGTGCGCGTGAGCGAGAGCGTGGGCACCATGGAGGTGACGGTGGTGCGCAACTCGGGCGCCCGCGGCACCGTCATCCTGCCCTACCACACCGAGTGCGGCAGCGCCAAGACGGGAGAGGACTACGAGGAGGCCCGGGGAGAGCTGGAGTTCACCAACGACCAGACCACGTGAGTGCCTCTTGTTCGTCTGCTCACACCCCCACCCTTTGAGCCGGGATCCACCTGTTTAGCCTTTTCCTCTGAAATATAAATGCTCCCTTGGTTTTTTATACAAGGTCCTTGTGGTTGTTGGCACTTTAGTTCCAGTAAAGTGGTTAGAACTGTCACCTCCCAGCAAGAAGGTTCTGGGTTGGAGTCCCGGGGGAACCAGGACCTTTCTGGGTGGAGTTTGCATGTTCTCCCTCTGTCTGTGGGTCCTCTCCGGGTCCTCCGCCTTCCTCCCACAGTCCAAAAACCTGTATGTTAGGTTGATTGGACATTCCAAATTTCCCTTAGGAGTGATTGTGAGTGTGGTTGTTGGTCCTTGTGTGTGGCCCTGTGATGGACTGTCCAGGGTGTACCCTGTCTCTGAGATTTTAAGGAAGTGCATCCAAACTTTTATCCTTGAGATTATGCCGAAGCTAGCAGCGCCTTTTGAGAGAGAAGCTGGCCTGACCAGGACTCCTGGCTGATGAGCACTGTGTCATTTTGTAATCTTCTCTCCGTGTCGGTCTCTTTTAGCTCAATAGTTCCATTTCTGACCTGCCGCTGAAGAGGTGGAACATCCTGATTCTCGCAATTTTATGCCTCGTCCTTATTCTTCCCCGGACTGCTTTGAGCATTCTTAAAGTTTTAGCACATTTCAGCTGTGATATGTTCTATTTTTCTGACATTAAGTGGTTCTCAGATGGGACTCAGACATCACAGAGGAAGTGTAATGTTTCTGGATTTCCTTCTTGAAAAAGCATCTGTCGAAGTGACTCTGGTGCCGTTGGCGTTGTTTTGCTGAGCATGGTGTGTGACACCATGTGGGCATAAATACTGATTTCAAACATGCACCTGAACCTGAAGGCATCTCATTTCTGTTGATTTGAGACTCCCCTGCTCTGCATTACAGCCCTTAAACGATGAATAATCTCTCACAAACGCAGGCAGGGATGTTATTAATTTACAGGTTCTCACCTCGTCCTTCTACAAATGTTGTTCCCGCCCCCTTTAAGCTCTCCACCTCCCACCCTGCACCGCCCTGTCTCCATGCTGCCTGGCTGTCTTCCCCTCTGTCGCTGCCCGATAGCAGCACCATCCATTATTCATCAAGGCTGGCCCAAGTGGAATCCTCCATGAGTCTGTGTTTGCAGGGGGGTGCAGCTCGTGTGGCTTTTCATTGTCTGATGGATCATTATTGCAGCATGCCAGCAAAGTTAGGGTCAAAGGTAAAAAACCGCAGTGAATTATTCGAGTGTAGCAGCATAAAGTGGCCGAATCCCGAATGATTGGATCCTTCTTAGTGATCCTCGTCTTTCTGCAGCTTTCTGAGCCAATAGTTTTCATGTGTATTGTGTCCAGATGTTACCATCTGCTTCAAAGTGGCCAAAGCGGCAGGAAGCAGGTCACATTATTGCCACAGACCGATTGATATAAGGTCACTCTTTATGTTTGCCTGTGAGCCTGAAGCTCCTCCTCCTTCCCTCGTTCTAGACATCTCTTTTCCAGAGACATTTCTTGGCTTTGAGCAGCTCAGTCAGCAACTCGTACACACAAACATGGTTCATATTGGGATGAAAAAAGGTTTTAAAATCAGTGTTTTTTGCAGAAAACTCTCCCCAGCGTTGTCCTCTTTGGGGACGAATGGCTTCTGACTGCATCCCCTCATCGTCTCACAGCTCCTTTCTTATTCCGCTCTGACATTCGCTCCTTTTTCTTGCCCCCCCCCCCCTCTCTGTTTGAGCCTGTCAGTGTTCATTCTCCTCGGCCATCAGCGAGCTGCGCCCTGTGGTGACCTTTCGCTGAGAGGCTAACAGGTCTTGTCATGGCCATCATCTTGACTTCCTCTCCTTCAGAGAGCCATCGTTTCTCAGACCCAGCATCCTGTCATGTTCCCCTCTTCTTTTCTTAATAGATTCTCGGATAAAATCACGGTTTATGTAAAAGCAATCCAGCAAATTGAACACTTTTCAAACGCTTTCCCTCACTGCTCCTGTCTGTGTGTGCAGTCAGACTCTCCAGGTGAGGATCATTGACGACGAGGAGTACGAAAAGCATGAGAACTTCTTCATCGTGCTGGAGGAACCCCGCTGGCTAAAGAGAGGAATCTCAGGTATTTGTGGTTGTGTTTTCCAGCGAAAGATAGATAGATAGATAGATAGATAGATAGATAGATAGATAGATAGA